CAGCACTGCTGAAGCATCACAGCACTGCTGAAGCATCACAGCACTGCTGAAGCATCACAGCACTGCTGAAGCATCACAGCACTGCTGAAGCATCACAGCACTGCTGAAGCAACACAGCACTGCTGAAGCATCACAGCACTGCTGAAGCATCACAGCACTGCTGAAGCAGCACAGCACTGCTGAAGCATCTCAGCACTGCTGAAGCATCACAGCACTGCTGAGTCAGCGCAGCATTGCTGAGCCAACTATTTATTAACAAACAATTACAACTATTGCACGTAACTATCAAATTACCATGCATGGCGACACAAAATTACCATATATGGAGAATCAAAATTACCATGTATGGCGACATGAAATCATCATATACGCGAAATAAACTTAAAATAAACCCATAAAATAAAATGCTATATAAACAGAATTAATAAACCTAAGAATTCGCAGCCCTTTTCAAAAAATAAATAATAAAAGGTCCGACAATTTGCAGAAATGTCACACTCAGAGAAATGAATGAGACTTTGTCCAAAAAGCGATGCATTTTTTGCTCCAGTGTGGGTCATGACTCGGTTTGGCCCGGAGCCTGGCCCGGTGTGTAGGGGACCTGGCCCGGAGTGTAGGGGACCTGGCCCGGAGTGTAGGGGACCTGGCCCGGAGTGTAGGGGACCTGGCCCGGAGTGTAGGGGACTTGGCCCGCACAGTATCTGCTGACGGGGCGCACATTCGCAGAACATAATGAGTAAAATTGTCCAAAAATTGACTCATTTTCAGCGCGTAACACTGACACACCTTCTTGTTGGACAAAATTGGGTCAACATGACCCGCGCAAGCAAAAAAAAAATACATACATCACTATTTGGACAATGTGTCCCTCATTTCTTTGAGTGCTCGGCCATATATCGGTACCGTTGCCTCCTTTGTGCGCCGCGCAAATAACGACGCATTTTCCGTCGCTGCGGACGGAATATTTTTCCGGGAATTTTCGTATCAAATATTCGGCTTAGGCCGCCATCTTTTGTGAGGTTCAATATATGTTGCATCAGTAAGCGAACGTTCAGCCTGAGATGATATAGGTGCCACCATCATCGACTGTGATGGTGTATAGTGCAGCTATAGTGCACCAACACCTACATATAGTGGTGTATCAACACCTATAGTGTATAAACACCTATAGTGTGTCGACACCTATAGTGCATCAACACCTATAGTGTATTGACACCTATAGCTATGGTGCATCAACACCTATAGTGTATCAACACCTTTAGTGTATCAGCACCTATAGTGTATCAACACCTATAGTGTATCAACACCTATAGTGATCTGATGAATGATATGAAGAGAAAAACATTCTACAGTGACATTTAAAGTAAATTTAATGCAAAGTTTCGGGCGCAAGATTTGAAGAGAGATCAAAAATGTAAAAGCATAGAAAACAGCCAAAAATTTATTATTACTTTATAAGAGAACATTTTTGTCTTTAGTAAAGGCATATTGAATGTTTTGGCAGTTTTTTTTTTTGCTTTTAAATACTTCATTACTTTGCTAATTAGGTAATCAGTGATCTTAATACTTGAAGTGAGATGTAAAGAGCGAGATATCTAAGAGCGAAACATTTAAATATTTTATAGCAAGATTTGAAAACACTTAAATTAAAGCAAGACTTGGAGAGCAAGAAATTATATAGAGTCTTGAATAACAAGGCATTAAAAGAAACTTAAACATTTAAGCTACACATTCAAAGTGAAACTTGAATGGCAAGAAACTTTAAGCAAAATATTTAAAACAGTTTAAAATTATTAATATAAAGTAAATCGTGAACGGCAAGACACTTTATCTAATAAATTCAAAGCAGTATATGGCCCAAAATATCAACTAAAGTGTTAATAAAAAAAGTATTGAATCAAGCGTGAATAGCAAGCCATCTGAAGCATAGCATGAAGAGCGGTGGCTGAGATACTGGGGGGGGCTGGTATAGAGTGCAGCTCTGAGGGTTAATTGAGGGGGCGAGGGTGATTGATGCGCACTACTGAGGGAAGAGTGGGCAGAGGGGAAGGATGGGTTATGGGGAAGAGTGGGCAGAGGAGAAGAGTGGGCAGAGGAGAAGAGTGGGCAGAGGAGAAGAGTGGGCAGAGGAGAAGGATGGGTTATGGGAAGAGTGGACAGAGGGGAACAGTGGGCAGAGAAAAACAGTGGGCAAAGGGGAGGGTGTGCAAAAGGAAAGAGTGGGCTGTGGGAAAGAGCTGTCTCTTATACACATCTAGATGTGTATAAGAGACAAGGAGTACAGTGGGCAGAGGGGAAAAAGGAGCAGAGGGGAGGAGTGGGCAGACGGTTTAAAAGCTTGACACCGCGAGCGTGTTACAGAAGCTAATGTCTGGCTTTATTGGACTGCATAGTTTACGGGCTTTGGGCGAATATACACCATAAATAAGTTGAGCTAGATATGATATAGTTTCGATATGCAAGGTAGATATGTAGAGCTATATATGCTAGGCTATTTGTACTGGTAAATAATTTCATAGGGCAAATATGCTGGTTTAGTTATGTATAAGTCGGGCATGTTGTCTACATATGTTCTGGATTAGATATGTTGCGCTAAAAATACAGTAGTAAATGAACTAGACTAGATATGCTTCGCGTAATACATTAGAACTTATTTAAAGGTGAACTGCCCCGTAGCGGCCACACACCGGCCTTGAAATTGCTTCAATTTTCAATAGGGGTTTTTAGAGGTTTTCTTTTACTGTGCATGCGTGGTGCTGTACGGCTCTATAAATT